TGACCGGGTTTTGGGGGGAGTGCCTAGTCAACCAGTCCACCCAACACAGATTCGGGCCGAAACCTGTAGCCGTTTAGGTTTGATTGTCGGTTTGGGATTTTGGGCTTTGGATTTTTGGTTTTGGATTTTGGGTTTGAGATTGTCGGTTTGGGATTTTGGGCTTTGGATTTTGGGTTTTGGATTTGGGGTTTGGGATTATGGGCTTTGGATTTTGGACGTTGGGCTTTGGATTTTCGATCTTTGATGATTTTTGGCTTTGGGTGTTTAATGTTGGATCTTGGGTTTTGGATTTTGGGCTTTGGATTTTGGATTCCAGGCTGCGGGGTTGAAGTTTCAGCGTCTCTTTATTACTTGGGGTCATCGGTCAGTTGGTGATTGTTATCCATGACAGGTGGCTACCCTCTGCAGTGATAAGCCTAAGCGGCTCTCTGATCGTTCGCCAGCCGCTTCACATCTGGGTCGCGCTCGCGACTTTGGACTTTAGGGTTGGGTTTAAGACGTAAGGCTAAATAGGGGTATATGGAGATGTATCGAGATTTATGCGGGCATGGGGATGTATAGGGATATATGGGGATTTTTAGAGATATATGGGGATGTATAGGGATGTATGAAGGTATACAGGGATACATGGGGATGTATAGGGTTGTATGAAGATATATGAGGATGTATAGGGGCGTATGGGGACATATGGGGATACATAACTTGCTAAGCACTTTACGAGGGGTTCGGGGTTTTGGGCTGCAGTATGTCCAGGTGTTTGTTGGGGTATGTGAAAATATAGAGGGATAATGAGAATCAAGCTGATAAGGAAATGGAAAATGAAATGGAAAGCACTATCTGGCATGCCTATCGGTACCGAAACTACTGTCGGGGTTGAGGGTTTTGGCCACTTTCCTGGCTTACATTTAGAGGAGAGGTTTTCCACCTCGGTCAGGGTGTAGTTATGCTAGCAGTACCGTCTCCATTATCCCTACGTACCCCTTTATTTTGCCCCTTCATATCCCGTGCACCCTCATATGTCCATGTGCATCCCGATGTTAGCCCCTAAACATCCCTATACATCTAAAAAATTGGCAAGCTGCTGCTTTTCCCTCTGGCGGAGCTTCACCAGCTTCTCACAGTAGCCTCAGCCGCTCTTTCTCTTCCCAAAGTGGACAAAATGGAACCCCCAGGAGGATGGGGCTCCACTGTGGGGAGCCGTATTATGATAAATCGAAGGAAATCTCCACATACTACATCTTCGCCCTGAAAGGTACCTGAGACAGCCACTTCAGCCTTTCTAGTCCTAATAAAATGCCTTCCCCGACATGTAGTCAAAATATGTATTCATTTTTAGGGGTTCTGGGTTGCGGGTTTCGCTGCTAGGGGAGAAGATTTTGGGCCAGCCGACGGCGCAGCAGCTCCTTGCCATCTTCGGCGGGGATCCGCTCCAGCTCAGCATCCAGCTGCCCTGGAGCTGCTGCCGTGGAGCGCAGATACTGCTGGGCCTGACGCAGACGGAAAGCAACGATCCACAACAAGGCGGGAAGAAGCAAAAATGCCTTGGAAATGCGATCTTTTCGGAAGTCGAGCTCATCGTTCAAGCCCTCCAGCCGCTCGTCGATATCATGAAGAATGCCTCAGCTTGTTGAGAACATGCTTCTGTCGAAGCTGCAGCAGGCTTTTTAGTCTCGACTTCGCTGGTGGCGTAATCCACGAGGCCAGCTTAGCCACTGTCGAGGGGCTGTGCCCTTCTGCATGCTTCCGCTGGACATTCCGCTGCAGCTCTGCCTGCTCCTCCTGCAGACCGAGAGAGATGGCAGGGAGTTGTGAATTGCTGCCCTGAACTAGACACTATCCTTCACGTCCGAAGCACCAGCACGCCACTGCAACGGACCATTGCTCTACCCAGGCCGAAAACGGTACTCAGCCTGTCCTTGATGGCATGTCGGCGGTGCTCAGCGCGGGCACGCCCAGCTGCATCAAGCGAGGCGGAGGGATCGAGCAAGTCTTGCCTCAGCCATGCTTGGTTGCGCGTGTTCACTGCAGAAATCAGCACAACAAAGCTCATAGGCAACACGCTGAGAGGCGAACTCGTGTCTTGCCGCTTCGGCATCAAGCTGAGCCATTTTCTCTGTGGCTTCCTGCCCAACTCAGCCCCAGCAGATGTACAAAATGAATACTCGGCAACAGCAGCCGAGGTTTCTCCGGCTTCCGCGCCTGTTGCTCTGCGGAATCTTTTGCAGCAATCTTCCTCGCTACATCCAGTAGCAAACGTTTGCAATTAAGGATTGGGGAAACGGAATCCATGTTGACTCGTGGCTGCAATTCAGGCACCGCCGGTAGTTCATGTACTGCTCACGTTTTCTTTGCAGGGCATCTTGCTTTCGCAGGTCCTGGAGTGGGAAGGACGGCTAATTAAGCAACATGAAGCGGCAACAGGTGGAGATGGCGTGCTGTCCTCTTCGAGGCCTTGAGTTGCCTGCACAGCGGTTCAGAAGCTGCAACCCGAATAGGGAAACCACCCAACAGCCCCAGAGAGGGCATATCTTTGCTAAAGCACCGATGAGGTATGCATGTACGCGCGGCGGTGGCCCCTAAAACAAAACAGGCATCTGCGCACTTACAGAGCCGGCCTCCAGGATTCGAATGTGTTCGTCCAGCTGGTGCTCCAGGCGCTGCCACCGAGACGAGGATGGCGCGCTTGCGCTGCTCGTGTTTCCGTTGCCTTGTAGGGACTGCATAAGGATTCTAATAAGAGGCTGAAACAGGAGACAGGCACTGTACAAGAATCTCATACAACTGATAATGTGACCAGCTGTTTACAACAAATAACCCTCTCTGAGTCTCTGCAAACTCAAGTGCCGTGAAGCCACAAAGTATTTATTCCCTTCCCCTACTTCTTGAGGCAGTGGACCATGTCTCAGGCCGGCACCCTTGCCCCTACCACTATACACAATGGAGAACCAAATAGAAAAGAAAACTGAAACAAAAATGGAAACAGTGATTAGACGCCCTCCTACACCTGGCCTGGGGCGCGTTCCGTGACCGACTCAGACCCTGAGGTTGGCGTATAGCCGCGACTGCCCGGCCGATCCACTCCGCCCGAGTTCTTGCGGGACAGAGGCGCTGGCCTTTTTGCGTGGCCAACTTTGGCCTGCAATGGCATATGTCTGTGAATTCTTGCACTCCAGGCACTACTGCACTTCGTGCCTCGAGATCTTTGACCTGCACCAAGCATGTCGGAGCCGAAGGCAGGTCTGTACTTTGTTGTGCGCATGAACTCGCTCAGCGCCCAAAAATCTCAAGATGCAGACTAGGGATGCACGAGTTTTTCTATGTTTTTTCTCCACTCCCCACTCTGAACCCTCAAAGGATCCTTCGTTTGCCGCTTCGGCTTCTCCATCCTTTTCACCTCTCGCACTAGGCATACTTCGACATCTGCTTCCACAGCTTCTACTTCTCCTCCTTGTCTCAGGATCGCCCCTCAAACATAAATGCACACTGCTCCGCCTTCTGGCCCTCTCTGGTCAGCCTGCGCTGCAGCTCAGCGATGTGGTGCGCTTCTCGCCTCCGCTCCGCCTGGGGGAGGGTGGCTTCCGTTAACGAAACTTCTCGGTTTTGAGATACATTAAGTAGTGGTCAGGGTCTGCAAGCCTATGTCAAAAGCACAGGCCGCTTCTCACAAATTGTTCATCCTGGCTCGGCAGTACGTAGACACTGAAAAAGAGCTTGTGCTACGGAAGGGTGCAACCACTTGCGCCTGCAACCTGCGGTCAAGCACCTCTTGGCTTTGTCCTTCGTTGAAGCATAAACTATGCGCACCATGTTGCGGGCGAATTGCATGGGGAGCGCTCAACATTCTCTAGTTCACAAACCCAACCACATTCGGGTGCTCACCGGGCCGCTTCTGAATTCACCCCAAGAACCCCTTCATGAGGAATCTCTGACAAGAACTCCCTGCTGCCAGAATGCGCATCTGCGCCACTTCCACCTCCAGGTCCTTGACCCGCTTGCGCTCATTCAGCCGGAGGTCCTTCCACTGAGAAGCTGATTCTTAGTATGGTTGCTTTGATTTGTGCATCACAGAAGCTCCAAGTGACTTTTTGCAAAGGGCCTGAATGACTACAGCGTGGATCCTAGGAAAGCTTGCAACACTTCCATTTTCAACACGCCTTGCCAAGTTTCATCATTAGATGTTGCGGTAGGGCTGCCTCAGCATGATCTGTGCTAGGTTTAGGTGCAAGAATTGCTTGGAACAGCTTCAAGTTCTGATCGAGAAGGATCGTATAGCAAGGGAAGTTCAGAAACCCATTTTGCAAAGCGGTTGCGCAAACAACCTTCGCGCCTTGAGCCGAGAATACTCTTGCTGCTTCCTCTTCCTTAGCCGCTGTTTCAGGGCCCCTGCAGAGACGTGGTTCGTTGCTCAAATCCTGCCCACCTTCTGCAAGCTTGAAGGATGGTAGAAGCCTACATGCCAACCCTTTGGCAAAAAAGCTAGAAGGCAAATAAAACTAAACGCGCAAGGTAGGGCAAGGCCACCAGAGATAAGAAAGGAATGCGTAGCAGTAGCCAGAAATGTCATGTCATTTGTGTCGGCAGGTTCAGATCAACTAGCATTCGCGGAACAGACGGGTGGCCTTACCAGGTACACTCAGGGATCGAGACTGTGGAGGAGGCAGGGAGCACAGGAGAAGGGCGATGACGCAGACCTAACGTAAGCTTCATGATGGGCCCAGCTTCAAGGCGTCCATCTGCTCGTTCACTTGACGCTCTAGCCGCCGCTTCTCCTCCTCGCTAGCCGTCCTGGCGTGAGAAAGATCATGGAATATCTGGTACGCTTCACAGCACGCAGTCGGATCATCATCATCATCATCATCATCGACATCGCCACCATCACCTTCATCACGGATGGTGACACGGATCGTAAAGACAGCAGTAGCAGGAGCAGCATTAGCAGCATGGGCAGCTAGGTCAGATCAGTAGCCCTGGTAGCAGCAAAGGCGATGTCACGAGAAGCACACACAAACACGACGCAGCGCACAAAGACGCTTAAGCTGCGGCCTGGCTTTCTCCTCCAGCTTCTCAGACTCCAAAAGCCGCACCTCCAGACCAGACACTTCTTGTGGCGTTTACAAAAACGTGGATCTTTTTTGTAGCTTGGTTTTTTTGTTTGTGGTGATGTCATCTGCTATCGACCCCGCCCATCGAGATACTGATGCGACCAACACATAGCTGTCGCCATCGCATCTTTCAGTAGAACAACACGGACTGGTTTGCAGGGGCTTTTCTAGGGAATTTTATAGGTACTACGAACTACTACTGGGAGCCATTCCCCATTCCCTACTAAGCACGAGTTGTTCGACCAAGCATCTGTTGTCAGCAACACTATGGAGGTGAGAATGCCTGTGTCTCACGCGAGTCATCGCGCACATCATGAAAACTGATGCGAGCGATGACTTTTTTTGATTTTGACATTAACTTCCAAACCGGAGGGATTCTCACTGCGGAACTGGCAGCACCATTGCTAACAATCTTGCGGTGACGTCCATGGTTCTTGTTATTTGTGTCATCTTGTACACTTGCCGTTCCCGGGCCTGCCTTCACTTTGTCCAGCTGACGCTGCGTGTCTTCCAGCTCGGACTGGAGTTGCTCCATTCGGGCTTGGTATTGCTGTCGGGCAATACCCCACTCGCGCTCGCTGCGCATGAGCTCTTCAATGAGGTCTTCCTACAAACACAACATGACAGAGCTATTGTGCTCAAGCATTAATCACAAAGCTTCGGGCAAAAAGAAATCACACAAAGAATGCCAAAGTCAAAGAAACCCTGAGCCATCCCTGGTCCCTCTCGAAGCCTTGAGCAGCACATTCTGCGAGAGCCTTTGCTGCTTCAGAACACTCTGTTTGATAACAGATCGCACCATCAAGTGGAGCGGGGATTGGGGGCTTGGGGCTAGGTTCGGCTAAGTAGGCCGGCACCTGGATGTTGTGCACCTGAAGCTGGACGAACGTGGGATTCCTTTAACGTCAAAGCTGCAAATCTGACCCTGGAGGGCTGTCAAGGCCGGGGTGCGACTGCATCTGCTGGCGCAAGTGCTGCTGGGACGCTCGAGTGTCCTGGCACCGTTCTGGCTTTGAGGTTGCACGTGCCCTCTTACTCTGCAACTGAATTTGGATGAACGAATATGAAGGACCTCTCCTTCGGCATGCCCTTGGAACTATGAGCAGCGTCCACAACAAGTTTGCATTTACTAAAGGAGTTGTGTGGCAGAAGCCAACGAATCCGCATGCGCGTGCACTTGCAAACCAAAGATGCACGGAAGATACAAATTTCAAAAGAGAAAGCATCTCGGACGGGCTTCCTTTGGCTTGAAGTATACCACAAGCAACTGATGCTCGTTGGGCCGAGACATCCCTGCCTCAAGGTCGCAGGGCTTGGAGACGTCCACATCACCATCATCTCCTTACTGGTGGTTGGTAGGGAATGACGGGATATCTTAGATAGGGAAAATATAGGGCTTATGTTCGCTTCTTCTCTTCTATGACTCGGTATATACCCGACTATACTATACCAGTTTTGATTTCATTTTGCCTTACCCCCTTACAAACCAATTATACTCACTTATTCCCTATTACATACTTTAATCCCGTAATATAATCCCTAAATAATCTCTATATAATTCCTAGACGATATAATATCTATACTAAGAACCAGTAAGTCTCCTGGAACAGGTGTGGCGGGGGAGGCGGAGCTCATCCCTGGCCCATCATCGAGTTCGCCTTGGGGGCGTGACGGCAAAGTGGCAGCAAACAAACTCAAACTGTTTATCTGTGGACTAATTAGGGTTATTGTAAGCTTATGTGGGGGTTATATGGGGATTATGTAAGGGTTATTACAAGGGCTATGTAAGGGTTACATGGGGATTTTATAGGGACTATGATAGGGCCATATAGGGGCTATATGGGGATCTATAGGGCTTTGCAACTTGCATGGCCAACACAGCACTGCAAGGTTCCAAGCCAGTACTGCAACTCAGGCACAACGGAGCACTTCACATCGGGATTCAAACCCAAACCCTACCAATCAAACACACCATCAACTCAGAGATCCCGACGTATATAGGGTTTAGGCTTTAGATGTTTGACCCCTTCTTGGCACTGTGGAAATCTCAAGGGGCCCGCGTGCATCAAGAGACATCAAACACCACCTTTTGGAGCCTCTGATGTGTGGCAAGACACTGAGCTGGATGGCGAAAAAGTTGGACCCCTCCTTGCTGCCTGCCCTAGAGTCAGGGCTGTGAGGCTTCTTCTCCTGCTGCATTTCTTGCTCCAAGTAGGCATTGCGGTCTGTCAACTCCTGAACAACAGCTGGGGCAATTCGGGCCATCCCGCCTTGCAAAATCGTGTGCCACTGACATGAGTTGCTACACGAAGCTGCTGTCCTTCATTTCCTTCATCTTCTCCTCGAAGATTTCCTCATCCTTCTGAAGGTCGTCGCGAGCCTCCTTGAGCTCCTCCTGCAGCTGCTTCGTGCGCCGTCGGTAGAGCACCAGCTCAGTCTCCAAGCGCTTCATCTCGTCCAGGTACTTGCGGATCAGCGTGGTTGAGTCTTTCCGCATCTCTGACAAAGACCTTGCCATAGCTTTGTCAGATTCGATGCAAACACTGAAAGTAGTGCACAGCAGGCCCAGAAATTGAATGAAGAAGCCCAGGGGCTGTAGTTTGTTCGGCTCTCCAAGCTGCGGTGCGGTGTTGGACAGCGTTGGCACACCGTTCGCAGAGTCACCAGATGTCAGCTCCGGAGCGCGCTCCTGCAGCCCGAAAGCAGAGCCGCAACAAACATGGATCTGGGGCTTTCCCAAAATTAGGGGTACCTTTTCCCCATAAAGAATCATTGTAGTAGGTTGGGGTCTATATTGGGGGGCCCCTTATTTTGGGAAACTACCATTCAAGACTCATGGATGTTCAACATGTATGTCACTTCCTGGATGAGGTGACATGGTGGTTGCGGTAGCTGGCTGGCATCCATGGTCACAGCATCCGGGGACGTGCGCGACTCGTCTGATGGCAAGTCTGCCTCACCTGGTCTCTGCTGGCTCTGACCCCGAAAATCCAGCCCATCGATGGGTGGCACCGAAACCATACATGAAAATGCCACTGAAGTGAATCAAGTGAAGGGCTTTAAAAACCGCAATTACGTCTTTTGCAGCTTCCTTCGTGCTGATGATTCAGCAACAGGTGCCCTAGTAAAATGACGGCACTGGCAGGCTCGGTCAAAGGTTTCCATGATTTGAGACCCTTACCCTAAACCCCAAATCGCGTGTTCGGTTTGTCAGGGAACTTTAGGTAGTCTTGGGCTTTGATACGGTTCCATCCCAGATGCGAGGTTGGTTACCCAGGGATTTTATTGATATAAGCTTTTGTAGGGCAATAATAGAAGGCTTAGGGCCTAGGGTAATACTCTAGAATCAGATGGAAAAGACCATGGGAAACATCAGGGAAACCTGACTTATAGGAGGTTCTTTGTACTTGCGTCGCCCATAGATAGCATCACAGGGTAAGCCTGCTCGTGTGGTTGAGCACTGCGCAACCAACCTTTCCAGGATGGGAACCTCGATTTCGTCAACTGCGTTGATCCCCATCAATGCCACGAATGTCTAGCTGCTTCCAAACCATCTTGTCGTCTTCCGGCCAAGCCCACGCATGTATACCACTGGAACCTACAAAAAGTCGACCCTGCCATGGGTACCCGTGAATACCAGTCATCACTCAGTACTGTAGTCAGTAGTCCTGGGCCTGTTGTGCGCAACCTCAATCACCTCCCTGTTGAGAAGGCTGCTTCTCAAATGAGATGTGCCAGCGCTGACTGACTGCACCCCACAAGCATGATTAGTGGCTTCTTTGCCGGGTCTTGCTGCACAGTCTTCCACCACTCCTTAACCTTTCTCAATGCAAATTCCTCGCTGTCCGTCAGCCAGCGGAGCTTGCGCGAGGTAAAACCAGCAGCAGCATCCAAGCTGATCTGCAGAACGATATACGACATAAGCGGTTGTGCCCTGTGCTGGCGGGCCACAGCAAGAAAGAACATCCTCAAGACAAGCCCTCAGGCAAAAACAGCTTAGGCCAGGCGAAAGACCTAAGGTTCTGGCTCTGGACAGGCCCATTGCACAGCCCCACGCATGCTAAAAGCTCCTAGCCGAACCAGCTGCCTTGATTTCAGGTCTACAGCCCTTCCTGGGTGCAGTTCTGTTCCTGGGGAACGATACGCACGGCAAAGGACAGCCCCTTTGCAGCGCACACCCTCTTCTTCTCGGTACAAACGGCCCCTTAGAATCTGGAACTTAGGCCCAAATTCTATCAACAAGAACCAGGGCTCCACGCCCCACAGGTCTACCTATACGTTGCATGTGTTTCAACATACATACCACGGTAGTCACGGAGAACGACCCGTTGAAGAGTGATACCCTGAGGGGCGCGGGCCAGGCAACCACGTGCTCCACCACTCATCGGTACACTCAAGGAAATAAGATGTCAGTAGTCATCTGCAAACGAACCTTCGTCATCTGCTTGCCACGTCACTATTCAGGAGCCGCTGCGCTGCCTGTACAATGGCAAGGCTTTCAGTGTCCCCGCAAGCAAACAGTACATGGGGCGTTCCACAGGCGTCCTGCCCCAAAGTAAAACAACAACTGAACAGACACCCTATAAACAGCTGCCGTCGCTTCCAAGGAAGTGGGCTGCCTTTGGCTCCACGTCATTTTGAGGACATGCAAGGGGAGGCATAGAGCAGAGGAGCCTGAAGCACCTGACAAATGGCTGCCAAAGCTCGTCGTCCAGGGACAGGAGGAGCTTCTCGGGTAGATGCCTGCTAAATCAGCAGGTATTTTCGGAAAAGTGGAAAAAAAGGATGGATACAGCACAGTATGACTGAATGTCCTGCCCAAACCTGATCTACACATATCGATTTCATTATCAGCCTTGATCAAACTACTTGAGAACAAGCACCTGCCAAATGGCCGGCAGATTCTGGCAAACACACGTGTACCTCAGTCTGCACCCTAAGGGCTTTCAGATCGATGTCCAGGAATGAGACAGCAAAGTTGGTTGAAGCAGGCCACGTCTCCACCAGGTATCTTCGGAAGGCTTCGCGCTCCGTCTCCTGCAAGGGAAGGTAGCACATGCGTGTCGAGGTGGAGTCAGCCAATCTATTTGCTTTGCAAGAATGCTGTTCAATGAGAGTCTCCGTGGCCGCCAAGCGCTCGGCGAGCTCTGAGGATCGCATCTCTGAGGCCTCAAATACAGGGCAAGAACCACCAGCTTTTGGGCGTGGCCCAAATTTCATCAGTCGGCCTCGAGCTTGTGGTTCAGCTCGATAAGCTCCTCATTGGCTGGGCCTGGGCCTCTTCAGCAAGCTCCCTTGGCATTGGATGTGACAGGTTCAAGAGCATGATCCGCCTCCCAATGCAATGGACGATCCCTCATTGGCACGCTGGAGCTGCTCTCTCAGCGCAACGATCTCGTCCTTCGAACAGAGACGTGAGCACTTAGTCGTCTTATCTTGCGGGTGTCGTCATATAAACATGGCCACGTTGGCCACAAAAGGAGGTAGCGCAGCCAGCAGAATGCGGACATTGCGGCCTGCATGGCAGCCAGCTGTGCGGTGCGAGGGTCATGGTTGACAACCTCGCAAGAGATATTTGAATGTCTGCACAGGCTCAGCAAAAAAATCTTCTGACAACTGTCCCGTGATGGTCGGATTGCCGTCAGGCAGCAGGCTTGTTTTTGATATTGCGAGCACGGTGCGCATACTTCAGAGTGTTGAGCGTCTCTTCGAAATCAATGTCCGCACAGCTGACGCAAGCAATCATCACCTTGGGCACCCAGACGAAACGACAGCACAAGCTATCGGCTTGTTTTCACCAGGCCACCAACTGTCGCCTCCAACGTGACACGTCCACCCAATTAGCGCCAAAGCGCTGTGCAAAATCACTGAAACTCGACCCGCCTCACAGCCTTACTACGCTAAGCTGCCAGGAAACAGTTCTGGAATTGCCACCCAAGCTGTCCTGCAGCAACCTCGTCAACTTCGACTCACGATAAGGTACATGGCTGCCTGCAAGCGAGTCAGGGGCTACAAGAAACTGTTCCAATCACCTGCACGAAACGCAAGAACTAATCAGAAGCTGCGAGCAAATGCTGGTGATCATGGCGCCTACGCTGCCTACACCGTCCTCCTATAAGCAGGATCACAAAGGGAGCGTCTGGGCCGAGAATGTTTGCAACTGGGTCTCCATCTGAATGATCTAGGCACACTAACGGCAGCCCCTCAGAACGGGAACAAACCAACAAAAATCAGACTTACGAAAAGAAAGGCTGTCCCGTGTCTTCCTTTTTTCGTAAAAAGCGGATGTTTTTCAACCCGGCTTTGTATCCATGCTAGCAAAGCAGGTTAATTCTCGGTGGCCTCGCTTTGCGGGATCCCCGAGGGCAGAAATCACGTTGCCCAGCGCAAGCAAGCCAGAGTTGATCGCGATGCTCTCTTTGAAGCGGCTGCCCACTGCACCAGTGCCTGAAAGATATGCTAGCTGTCCAAGCTGCAGAAACTTGTCCTTGAAAATGCGCGATGAGGCTGCTAACCCTGCTATGCTGTAGCCACGTGTAACCAAGCTGCGCTTGGCACGCTCGGAGCCGGCAAGATCCACAAGATGAAACTTGGCCGTCACGTAATCATCCTCGCTCCATGCATCACCGCCCGCAATACGACGGCGTTGCTCCAAGATCAGGGTGAAGATGGAATGAGACCTGTGCAAATGCCATCCAGCACATGAGTCTACATGTCTACAGCGACCCACACCCTTAGTCAAACGCAGTTGAGCGCACAGTTGCAGATGTTGAGGACTCTCGCTTGGACTCCTCCACAACCTGGCCTGGAGCTCTGCTCGTTCATGAGTGTGGCCCCGGTAGTTCTCTGCACCGAGCCGTCGCTCAGGCAGCGGAACATCTCCTCTGCAGAGGTGCATGTCTCGGCGTGGATGCCGGAGACCTTGATGCCACCTGCTGCATCTTCCCTGATGGCAATCGGCCCAGCGTGGCCTGTGGCAGGATGGCGAAACATGCACTGGCTGTGAAATCCATGCTGCGTGCGCCGCGGCGCGGCACCTCCAGGCTGCAGCAAGTCTCGGATATCTTCATTGTAGATCTCCAGGTAGCAACAGGAAACCTGCACCGTGTCCATGTTGCCGGACTTCGCACATGCAACATGCAGCTATTCACCGCGCAATTCTGGCGCCTTGAAGTCAACCGCAGAGCTGTGTGCCTCGATGTGGCGGAAGCTGTTCCGAATAACCTCCAGGGACTTCATAATAACCCTTATGTAACCCTAGAATATACTAGTTTCCATTTTATCCATATATCCAAATATAACTCCAATATTACCCCAGTGGGGTTATAAGGAATGTGAATTGCCAGGCTGAACTACCGGCGGCCTTCGGAACGATGCCCTCCTCTGCACTGCCCTCCGGGGCCCACTGGCCAGTGCCCATGGTGTAGGTTTTGCCAGAACCTGCGGAGTTATACAAGGGTTATGGAGAAGAAAATGGAAACTACTATAATCGGTTATATAGGGTTTAGGCCATTCTTCCCTGGGTTCCATTAGGGCCAGCTTTTGCACCCGGTCCTGTTTGGCCGTACGCGAAGACAGTTGCATTGTAGCCCTTCCTGAGTTGGAAAACAGAACACAAACTTGAGCCACGAATATGGTCCTAGTGCTGGTGAGCTGCATGCAGCCATCCAAAAGGGACGACACACAGCCATCGTAAACAGCTAATTGAGTCGAATCAGTCTCGAACACCAAGTCAAACCTTGTGCAGGCAATTGCGGACAGCGAGTGAATCCACACATATGCTAGCAGTCGCCGGCGGTCCTCCTCTTATTGACATCTGACACGTTTGCGAAGGACTTGCAGACAAGGGGCGTGAAAGCTCTTTTGGTGCCAACCACAAGCTGATTTGCGCCGCACTGAGCTGAAACGCAGCTGCAGTAATTCCTCAAAGATCTTTTGCATTTTCCGCTATCACCGTGCATGACAGTAGAGGGGGATTGACACAGGTGTCAAGGGCATGATTAGGATGATGAAGGACCGTGGCTGGAACGAGTCCCCAACTTCAACCAGTCGCAAAAAAAAAGGCCTACATAGGACAACACTGCCAGCCGAACAAATCCTGACTGCAACCAGCTCACCCTCTACCTGCAATGTGTGCACGGCAGAGAGAAGAACAGCAAAAACATTTTAGCTTTGGCCCCGCCCGACTCTGCTGCTGAAGCTCTGCGCAGTGTCCCGTGCGAGGAGCGGACGAACTCTGGCAGCTACACGCACATTTGTCTCCTCCTCCGCCCTGAGCTGGCACAAAGAGTGAGTCTTTGCAAGTGCATTGCATGAACTTGCGGCTCTACTTGCTCAATCTTCCTAGCGCCGTTCATGCTACCGGGCAGCGCTGGGGGCATCGCGCTGAGCTATGTCAACCCATTGCAGCTGGCGACTGGCTGGCTGCACACACTAAGTTATTGCTCCTGGTCGCCCGCGTGCGAGCTGAAGCTCACTAAAGCACTATGACAAACAATCACATGCTACCGCATGCTTGCTTTTTATGACGTGTCATGACAGAATATATCAGGGCATGGTTTTTTATCGAATCAGGCTGCCTCTTATCGGATTACTGCCCAAAACCCGAAAACGGGCTATTAGCGGAGGGCCATCCTCTTTTCAGGCATGTCCAAGCCCTTCTTAGCTTCAAGGCCATCGTCATGTGGCTTTGAGCATGCTGCGGGAAAGGCAAGTTTCTGACGATGATCATGTCTCCGGGGCATGACCTCTCTTGCAATGGACACAATTACGGTTCGCCAACATCACCCACAGCGGACTCTGAGACCTGACGAGGAACCACATTTCAGAGTCTGAGTAAGGATGGCTTACGGCGAGCAGCACTTCAGCACTTCCAGGCAACTCTGCTGGAGTCAGTCTCCATGATTGGATAGACCAAGAAAGGGAATGAAGTCAGACATCTCAATGTGCGGAAATCTGAACCTGGATCTTATCTTATCGCCCTGCTGGTGTCGCACATGTCCTAGTCTGGCTTTGAGTGGCGCACAGTGAATTCCCTGAAGCCGTCGCAAGCACCTGCGTCTGGTCATGAAATCAGTCCGGAATCCAATAAAAACTGATTGACATGGGGGCTGAATTAGATTCCTTTTCCCGAAAACCCATCAGTCGCCGCCTTTCGCGGTCTTGCGCGCGCCAACTAAAATTTGGATCGTCGCTTCATGTTTCATGATAGGCCGTGCCATTATCAAGTACATATCAAGACTTTTCGCCGCGCTTTCGCGTCTCTTTCGCGCGCCAAGAAATTGATCCCGGAACCCTGTGTTGCAAACTCGGCTTATAAACACAAAACAAGGGTTTTGGAACAACCCCCACATATTGGACTAATATTTGGACCTGTCGAACACTTCACGCTTTCGTGTCCTACGCAGTGGACCTTCAACCACAACCCCACAGGAAAAGATGACTGCAACGAGCCCTGAGATACCAAGTTGCGAGATGACTTCCACTGTGGGAACAACAGCATCACCTGGCATAACAACATCTTTGCAGGTCTTTGCAGTTTCAAACAGCTGGGCCTTTGACGATTTCTCACAGCATCTCCCAGTCACGAGCTTTGGAATGAGCTGCACTTTTGCCTTGGCCCTTCTAGCTCCGCTTGGCTTGGCTCAGGCGAAATTTTGCGCGGCTCTGCATATACATTTGGAGACTGGCCGCGGATGGCAGGGAACATAGATTTGTGGCTGACCGCGCAACATCCTGATGCTTTGGGTTATCTTCGCTGCTGACATGGCCAAGCGTGCCCTGGTGGCCTGTCAGGCGGTCAACTCAGAGTTGCAGCAGCTATAGTAGCTGTAGGAAAAAGTTTGTACTGAATTCAGTGCAACGTCGCGGGCCCAGAATCAACCAGCAGACTTAATTGCTTCGTCTGGGCATTGCGCGCACAAGGAAACAAACAATTCGCAAAGTTGGGTGAGTCAGCAAGCTGTCTCACCGTCTTCGCCACTTTCGTTATTGGAAGATTAGGATTAGGAGGCTTCTCTAGCCACCTGCCAGACATCAAAGCAAGCCTTGCGCTACTACAGATACAAAGCTGCGAAGCGCACACAGCACACAAGTCTTTCAGCCGACCTCCGTCTGCGGTGCCCAAAAAATATGCCCAGCCTCTCCACTGACCCAGCTTTCCTGCAGTTCAAGAGCTTATGCCTTGCCAGCTCTTCAAGCACCCCCCACCATGTACAAGCACGAAAGGTGCAGCTGCTGCCACGCATCCATAATACTGATCTGGGCGACTTGGAATGTATGGGTTTCTCTTCTCACCCATTTCAATCCACCTGCAAGTTCAGCAGCCAGCTGCGAACACGCCCAAGCATGTCTGAACACAGCTTTGAAACCTTCCTGGTGGTCCGCCTGAATTTTGCCAAGTGGCTCTTCCCACTCTTCCTGGTTGTCCCAGAGACCCATGGCACGCACCCACTTGACACAATCGTCAAAGGGAAGGAAACACCTTCATGGATTCCCCCATAGTTAAGCCTAATCCTTAAATCATCTTAAGGGGAAACCCAGGCTCTAAACCCTAAACCCATTTGGGGAATTGGGGAATTTTAGGGTTATATTGGGGGTAATGGAAAATCAAATGGAAACTACCATTTAAGGTTTAGGGTTGAGGTTTTATGGGGTTTAGGGTTTACGAGAGGTAGATGAAGGAAACACCTGAGAGGCTAACGCTTGGGACATCGACTCTCCGGAACCCGCCACAAGTATTTTGGCAAATGGGGTTTCCCAAAATTTAAAAGCCCCTTAAAGGGGTTTATAGGGGTTAAATACGGATTATATGGGGGTATATAGGGTTCAGGGTTTCCCAAAGTTAGGGGCACCCTATTTGGGGGGGTCCCTATAATAAGCACCATAGTATATTGGGGTTTATCTTGGGATCCCCAGGAAAAGTATCACATGGCACTTACCTGGCCTCTTCCGGCGGAAGATTGCCCGCCTCGCGTGCTCTTCGAGCTCTGTGCGAAAGAGCCGAACATAGTCCTTTCACACTTCAGGGGTACAGGCTAGTCTCCCAGAATAGGGGACCCCAATATAGAATATTACACTGTAGGGACCCCACAAAAAGGGTACCCCCAATTTTGGGAAACCTCCACATGTCCCGACTTCAAATCCAACATCATCCAGCATCCGTTTCTGCGAATGTCGCACACGAAATCTCTTTCAGGCACACTACCACCAGGTTGGGCTCGTTTTTGGACGTTTCAACTGCCCATGGCTATATATGTGTGTATATATATATATGTTGAGGTTGTATAGGGGTGGAAAAGAAAATGGAAACTATACTATATTATAGTGTATTTAATCGTATTATGGTACATTATATTGTCTACTGTGGATCTGCACAGAACTCAGCAGCATGCGAGAATGCCTCTTCATCGAGGAAGACCAACTTGTCTGCTTCTAGACCTCTAGCAGGTCGTTCTGGGCCCCGAGCCCACTACTAATCACACCTTCGACAAAATACACCATGGTGAGGCACCGCAGGATGCTGGCAAGCAGCTTTCGTCTTGACCTTAGAGGCAGAGCCATTCCACATCATTCCACCATTGCACGGTCCCCCAAACATGAGAAAGCCTTCAAGGATCTCGAAGTGCAGCTGAGGCGGCTCCGATCCTTCGACTTCGCGGAGCAGGCAATGCGCCCGCTGGAAGATCCTCCACAGGCCCAAAAGGATTGCTGTGGCTCGATTTGCAGAGTCAAACTGTCCTCCCTCCTGGGAACTGATTAATAAGGAATTTCACCCCATGCCTGCATGGCCGAGGAAGCCGGCCACGGCAAAGCCGCAAGGACAAGCCACCGCCGTTACACCTCACAGTGCTTCTCTTCTGCAAGACTGCAATGAAATCATGTCCTGAAGTAGGTGCAGACCAGCCACCTAGCCATACCAGCCTCCAGACACTCCGACGGTATGAAATGCTGGTCAATTTAAAGGGCTTCCCTCCACGAACACATGGCGACGCCATGAAAAGTGCCGGCAGCTGGTCAGAGAAGGTTGTTCCTTGCGGTCTGCTTGAATTGTCAATTAGCTCTACTTGTAAGAGATCAAGAGCTGTGAGTTGAACGGCTGCTGAAACTTTGATTCATTGTTTGGGCACTTCTTGTTTCTTGCCTCATGGTCTGCATATGTCCACCTCTAGCTTCAGGTGTTGGCTCAGCCGCAGCGTCCACAAAGCGAGCAAGAACTCAAGACCTGGTGCTCTCAAGTGCTCAGCATCCGCAACTCGGTGCCGCCTTGATTGCTGGCTTGCCCGCAAGGAGTCAAGGCGAAATGCAGGATGAACGCAAAAGAGTGCCATGTTTTGGACGCAGGTTTGGTTTCGCGTGCACTCACCTGCCACACGGCGAGGCATGCTGCAACTAAGCTAAAGGCCTCCTTGCAGTCTTGCTGCCAAGCTCACGCTGAAACAGTCGCTGTGTTTCAGCATCTAGGGTTTGCTACAGTTTTCTGATTTGGCGCATGGCATGCAATCCCATTTCTTTATTGATCATGCGTTTTCGGCATAGCGCTTTGGAATTGGAAGGTGGAATATCAGAAAACGGCGCAGGAACTGACTGAGATAGCAATGTACATAGGCCAGTCGAGCCGGTTCTCTGCGTTCGCAGCGTGGCTTGCGGCCGCAAAATAAATCCATTAGCAGGCACGCACATGTGCTAGTCATCTTCCATGGCATCGTCTTCAAAATCCTCCTCTTCGTCACCTTCCATTAGCTCCTCCTCTTCCCCCTCTTCAAAGCCTGGGGATCAAGAACAGGCTTACATTATCTGAATCTAGCCCTGAACACAGCAGAAACCGTCGCCTTCGTTCTCCATCGCATCGTCATCACTTTCACCATCATCTTCCATCAGCTCCTGGAAGTCAAGACCACACGTGACTGGGACATAAGCGTCAAACCAACCACTTTGGCGTAGGGCGTAGGGTTCACCTTACCCAACCTCCTGCCTTCAGTGCCACGCCAGGCCCGAGCCCGTGCGAAGGCATGCTCAGGCCCTTAACAGCTGAACTTGATGAACCATCACGTGATCTCAGTAGATCCAGCTGTGTCTTCATCACCTTGGCTTCATGCACTGAAGGCAAGGATCCCTCCCCAGTTAAGCCGAAGCACTGCCTCCATACTGGGCCGGGAAGAGTGAGTCGCCCACAGGCTGGGCTGCGCATCTTGGAGCTGGGCTGGTGCTAGGCAGCTGCAGCAGGGAGCCGTAGCCAGCTGCTGTAGAAAAAGCTGCGCGGCAGACTCCACACCTGGCCCCAAGAGCTTCAAGATAATTATTGCAAAATAGCAAACGACTTCAAGCCCTGAACGATCAATCGCAGGAAGAAACCTGGAGCTTTGCCCTTCTTCGTCTTGATGTTGTACGTCTTTGCCCAAACCTCTGCATGCACGCCACTCTCTAGGTTCCCCCCCTTTGTAGGCAAGTTGCTGATCACCCTCAGCCCCAACTGATAAACTCAAACAACGCACCACGTCTCACCAAGTTGATGCACTGCAGTCTGCTATTGGAGGTTGACCTATCTCCGACAACATTCATAGCTTGGCGTGGCATGGCTTGCCCGGCCCGCTGCCTGCACGAAGCCCTCCGCCCCCTCAAACGTCGGCAGCCGGTACCGTCTCATCACTGCTGGCACACCGGCACGATTCAAGAGATGGCGCACAACTTCCAAAGGCTCTGCAGACACACCTGCGGGAGCGGTGCAAACGCTGCCCTCAAGCATCTGGAAAAAATGGTGAGCTTATGCGAAGAGCTTCAACTGCAAGGCCTTCGGATGCCCGTCCTCTGACCAGTAAGCCCCGCATGGCCATGTGCAACATGGCCGTGGCAGCAGCCTCCCCCTCCGGGTCATCAGCAGGCCGCAGTCGACCGACGGATTCCAAAAGCCATCGGGTAGAACCCGGAACTTGTCTCCGAATCGCCTTCAGGAGGGACTTTTTGCCGGTGCCTTCATAGCCCAGAATACCCACTTGATCTGGCTTTGCAGCATCTGGGTCAACGCCGAGCATCTGAACAAGCTGCGTCACACCTTCCCCACCAGCTTCAACCTCAAAGATAACGTTCCATATGCAGTTCAGCAAGCGGCTATACGCTGTGTGTAGCAACCGTTTTCACTGGAGATTCGCAACTACAAACATGGAGTCGCACCAAACTCCCATTTTTCTCAGCCCCAAGGTGTGCCTAGTCTGAATCTTGAGCACAAAAAAAACATTGCACGACCCAGTAAGTGCTAACACGATGCCTGCACGCAGGCTACTGGCGCCAATGGGCCCAGCACCTGTATCCAGTCTGCTGCTTGCTGAGGCAAAATGAGGTCCACTTTGGTCAAGACGTAGATGAGGCGCTTCCCCTTCCTTACCCAATGAAGTCTGAGGCATGAGGGCTAAGGAACTTTTGAATGTCAAGAGACTGTCTCTCAAGATATGACTGACATGCATCTTCTGAGCTAGGCGTCTCTCTGACCCAAGCCTCCAGTTCCGGACATCTGCAATACAAAGGATCGCGAGCATCCAGCGTTTGCAGCAAAATGTCGGCCTTCCTTGGTTATGACGAGCTATGTGACGGCCTCGTAGGAAATGTATTTCACAGTCTGTATGCTGCAGGAGTTTCAGAAGCAGCTTCCGAAGGGACTCCAGCTGTGACATCAGTACCTCTTAACCGGACTTTCAACAGCATTGCCTTGCTTTGGCAAGGTCAATCAGGGAGCACTTGCTCTGCCCGCTTTTTTCGCCGCTCCGCTTCCTTCTGCTGATGCATCTCCTGAGAAGCACACGATCTCAAATAGTCCATGAGACAGAGGCACGACAACATGGCGCCGATGGCGCCTGCGACTGGCGCTGTTGCTCAAGGCGGTCTTGCTTGACCTTGTTCTTGGCCTGCAAACCCAGATTGGGAGCATGACTGTGCAAGAGCTGAAAGCAGGCTCTGGAATGCAGCCTCCTGCTTCTTCTTGGCGAGCTCTTCCTCGCGCTTGGCCTTCTTGGCCTCGATGTCTGCAAGTAGCTCGGCCTGGCAAGTGTCAAATTGAAACATGTTGTAACTTGGTGACACATTTCCCACTTGGCAGTGAAAGCCTTCCATGGCAAGGTGTTGGGGATTCCTTGGTCCCGAGGCTTGAGGGAGAAGGCCAACTGACAGTATAGGAAAAAGAACTCATGCTTTCTGCCAGGCTTCCGGGATCCTTCCTCACCCTCTTCTTGAGCCCCAGCTTCTTTGCTTCCTTCTTGACCCGTCGCTTGTGCTCGCGGATTCGCTTCTGAATGTTGTATCTCAGAGGGGAAAGGGCAAGCCAGGTAAAAGTCTATCTCTGTGCTTGCCGAGGCACTTCAGACTCAGCTTCTGCTTTTTGCTTTTCCTGTTCCCCTGCAGGTTCAGAAGACGCTGACAGAGCTTGCCATATGCAAATCATGGCCCTGCCAGCAGCTTCATTGTTGGAGGGGCAGAGCAGCCACTCCCAGCTTCCACAGATGGCTGCAGGAGCCAAGCCATGCAAAGCAGGCAACCCTAAACTCAAAATCCTGCAGGCGGATACTGCACAGAACGGCTTTCCCATGGAACACGCCATGTTTGTGCCTGCTGCCACTGAGAGCTGCAGACTAACTTTGCGAATCAATAAGAGTTTGGGCCTAAGAAGCCGGCCTGGGTGAAACTTCTCCTTTCTCCCTTTTGAAGGGGTTTAGGCTTCCTACAACTCCGTGCATGGCTGACTTGTACCTCAGTCGTGCATGCTGCACTCTATACCCGCAAATATGGCCCAGAAACGACAATAGCGTGTCTCGTGTCTGGGATGGTGGCATGTCTGCATCCCGAAGCGCATCTTGAATAACGCCCTGCAAGGCCATCAAGCTGCACCACAGGCCATACCGTTCGATTATGTTTCCGCCTTGATTGAATGCAGCAGCTCTTCATCCTTCATTGCGGCCTGGCTGAATTTCTTCATGACCACCTGCAGCAAAACACTCACGGCACTGCCTCCTGAACAGTGGGCTGCGGCTAGCTAATGAACAACTAATTTCCTAGGCCTTGAAGTCATCGTCCTTCATGATTCGGGCCATCATCAGAACCTTGCACAAATGTCATCAACAAGCACAAACACACCCCCGCACATGCGGCAAAGATCTCATGACCTTATGCGCAATCTGGCTTTGTCCTTTCTTTAGCTGCTTGCTTGCCATCGCACAAGCCTAAGAATAAGCTGGCTTTGGTAGCCGGATTCAGTCTCGGTGGATGGCTCTTGCTGGAAGCTTGGGACGACGAGAAATCGGACTTCCCGGTCATCGGTGTCCAAATACTTCTGGGCGAGATAGGCTGAGACAAGCGCGCGGTGAATTGCTGCGGCACCAATGCCTCTGACGAGAGGATACTTGCCATGACCTCCTCCCATGGGTCTCAGGGCACCAGCCATAGCTGCAGCAGCTTTTCCCGGGGGTGTCTTGGCACCAATGAGAAGCTCCACAGATCGCTCTGGGTGGCGGTCGGGGACTGGCTTGCCCTTCTTGTGGAAGCCACCCGGAGGCAGCTGCAGCGGGTGCACGCGAAGATGGAGCTCGTTACCCCGAGCCTCCGTCTCATCAGCTCCTCGGCAAGAAGCGTTCCTTTGACGTTATGTTGTTCTCTTTCTTTATAAGTTTTCCTCTGTGCTTTTTACCCACTGGGAAATACATTTTGCACAGGCCTGCAAGGGGTTAATGCAATCCCACCCGATGACTTAATGGCGAAGCCACAGAGATCACAGCGCAGCCATTTCTGGAACCAAGGATCCTGTTTGCGCCAGCTTGCTTTCTGAGACTTCCACTCCCAGGACGCGGTCCGCTGGAGCATCTGGATCTTTACTGAGGTAACCAGTTGCATTGACAACCGACTTGACGCTTTGGTATGCAGCCTTCTGCCCAATGCAGCCTCAGCACTTGCTGAGGATGCGGAACACTATCGCTGCGGAGTTGCGGCCCAGTCGCGGACCGATGCACTGCCAGCCTGAAAAACCGTGCGGACACGCATAATCACGCGGCACTTGCTTGCACTTCTGCGGTTTGGGAAGACCAGGCCTGGCGCACATGGGCGGCAATGGCACCTCCAAGCCTTGATACATCCGTAGATGCGCTAGCCCAGAGACCGTCCCGCCTGTCGGTGTCCAAACCTGCAGCCACTGCTTGTGGGCGCCGTGCTATACCCGACTCTACCGCCTGCTGCATATGGCCGAGCTCGCGCTGGGTACTGACGGCCAACCGGGCGGCCTTCCACTGACCCCAAGCAATGCAAACACCACACGAGGCCAGAACCAGGTGCCTGCAAACCGCATGCTGCCAGTCGGGCGCGGCACAGCCATGATGCGAACTGCCATGCTGCTCATGGTGCATACTGAATACTGAGATACTCTTTTCGAATGCTTTTGCACGGTTAACAATGCAGCCTTTCCAAATCAGAGGTTTCTGGTAAGCCCACAAATATCAAAGGAATCTAGTGACGAAGCTGGGACAACTGCTCGCAACAAGCCTGAAGGGCTCCAGCTATCACGGCGAGAAAGAACACATGTTGCAAGCGTACGCAGGCATCGACTGAAATTGAGGAGGCTCTAGCTGAGGCTTGTTACAAAATCACCTCGGCTTTTCCGAGAGGCGTTCAAAGGTTCCTACAAAAACACCCTGTTTCGCCTCCTGCTACCCTCCCCAGCGCACTAACTCTAGCCTCAACCCCATGCCTGCCCTTCCTATGCTCCTATTTGCAGCGATCCGAAACCCTGATCCCTTCCTACACCTAGTTACCCATTGACATCCTTGTACTGACCCTGCATGACCCCTCTAACAAAGGAACTCTATGCCCGTTGCTCCCTATCCCCTATGCACCCGTTTGAAGGCCTATACCCCCCCTGGCCGGGACCCCTATCCGTTCCTATCCCTTCTCTATACACCTTTCCCGTGTATATCCCCTATGCACCCCTCTTAAATGGCCCGTCAACCTCAAATACCTTGTCCGTATCGCCTATGCCGCCCCTTACAGGAACCCCTAAACCCTAAATACGCCTTTAATATACCTGAATATCATTTGCACCCCTCCGGACCCCTAAAACCTAAATAGCCCGTGTCCACCCCCCCCAATGCGCTCCTTGAAGGAGTCGCTAAACCTTAGGTGGGCTCGATCACTAGACCCTGAACATCGCTTGCCGCACCCCTATGTGCCCACAATAAGATGCCAAGCCCGCAAAATCACACATCATCACACATGCCAAGGAGCCATGGCTGGGGGAACTCGTTCATCTGCAAAAGTGTTGGCCAAGGCGGGTGGCAGACCCTTTTCCAGGGCGGGAGTGAGCAAGTCGGCGAGTGTATCCTTTCCAGGTAGCCACATCGCAAAAGTCGCATTCACCGCCCGCAGAGTTGTGCCCCCTGCAGCCTAGAATCTGCGACTCCTTTCTTCAGGGAAGCTCCGAACTCGGAGATGCACTGTTGTGCCTTCGGCACTATCTCGAGCAGGACCTTCGTGCTAAGCGTTAGCCGAAGCTGGCAATTTGACCTTTAAAACACCACCTTGAAATTTGCTCTACACGCCGGCTCAAGGTTTTTGGGGCTTATGGAATAGGACAACAGCTGTCTTCGCCATGGTTGTTCCCATTCTGGAAACGTAGTGTGATGTAGCACGATATTGGAATTGCATTGAAAACGCAGGAGACAGCAACACTGCGCCTGCCCAGACCATTCCTCCTTCGGCTCAAGCTTACCATGTCTGCCTCGTCGTACCACCATGTATCCTGCGCAAGTGAGTGAGAGAGAGAGAGAGAGAGAGAGAGAGAGAGAGAGATAGAGAGAGAAGAAAATAAAAATCTTCGACTTGAGTTTACAACATTTTTCCGCTCGGTGCGCTTCGGGAATCTCCAGTCGTCCGGCGCAGAGGACGCCCATCCAACAGCCCGACTTTCCACACTCAGGCCATGGCAAGATCAGCACACAGCCAAGCTGCAGAGTTCCCATGTTAGTTCGGCAAGAGTCCAAGCCCTGGATTTCCCGCTGCAACTCGAAGTCTCGCACTTCTTTCAGCGAAAGCCAACCAGAATCCAAGATCTGCAAGAGAGGAGCAGCATGCAGGAAGAGTCGTCGTTGGCTGGCATGCCTTTGCAGGAAGCCTGCCATGCTTGAAAGGGGCATGAGGGCACATCCCCAGTATTGCCTGTCATATGCCTCCGTGCACCTTGCCAGAACAGGCATTCCGCAAAGGGCGTGACGCAGCCGCTCAGGAACGCGAAGCTGAACAACCGCAGGCGAGACGAAGTACAAGTTATGCTTATCGGCTGTTCGATAGGCAAGGCATTGTAAAACCTGCCGCGAGCAAACCTCAAAGCAGCCAAAAAACTTGAAGAAAGATTCGGCCAGCTCTGGTACACTGGAGCAACACCTTACCAGCCTGGAGCCAGGGCTACCAGGGCTACTAGGGCCAGGTTTGACAACCTTGCTCTGAAGGCGCTGGAATTGCCGTGCATATGCCATGAAGCCAATCATGAGCAAAAGAGCTATCCACCTCAGTCGAGAAAACATCCAGCGAGGCAACTGATGCCGAAGAAGACGCGCACAAATCAGACCTCCTGCACCCAGAGCTCCCATTGTTGCAAGCCTTGAAGCCCCAACCCCATGCGTAAAGACCTTGTCCAACTCCGCAGTCTGCAAATGATAGGTGGATCTGTCCGGGTAGCGTATCTTGATTAAGCCCGCAAATGCTCCATGCCCTGGTCCAACTACTTGGGCAAAGATTCCAGATCTTCTGACAACAACCTCACAACCTGCCGGAAAGGAGCAGTCTAGATCATCACTTGCGTCCAGGGCCTGTGTAACGCAATGCATCCTTGGTGCCATCTGCTCCTTCGTAAACACTGCCACAAACACCTCCTGGTCCAAGTCTAGCCGTACACAGCGAGCCAGCTGCGAACGTATTTCCACGTCATCCTTTCTTGGTGGAAACATGGTGCGAAGAATCTTGCCTTCCTGCAGTTTTACCGGCACTTCTTTCCAAGACTGGAAGGAGGAAGGCCCGATTCCCTGCGAGGGGTTTGGCACAGTCTATTGCTTGCAACCCTCCGTGCATGGGCCGGATGTCAGCTGTTGAATATCCGTCAATTGCACAAATGGCCCGCATCTGCAAAGAGCTGCAGCTACCACGGCTTCGTTCTCAACTGGGTGTTGCGCACGCGTTACGAAGACCAGACGCCCACCTGGAACCAGCATGGCCAGTCCACATTGCAGCATCCGTACATGTAATGGATGTCTGTGCCAAGGTTGGTCCATCAAAGGATGAGATGCTTTTGGTGCACACAGGACACGATCAAACTCAAGAACGAATTGCCCAGTTGGCTCTCGCCCTGTTGGAGCCGTCCACTTGGTGAAACCCTCCGCTGGCGAGGCTGTGAGAAGGTGTGGAAACTTGTGTGGTGGGGACACCGTGAAAACCACGGGACTGCGATGGTGTGAAAGCACTTGCTGGATCACATCCTCCAGTCCCTCCGATCTATGGGCATTCGCCACAAGAAGGCCTGCTGGGACGCTGCCAAGCGGAATCTCTGCATGCAAAGACTGAGCAAGTGGCCCTGCGCAAGCACCGCACATGTCCAGAATTCGATGCCTTTCCTGAACCTCCAAAAAACGGACACAAGCTTCTGACCAGCCTTCCGCCATGACCGCCTTCTGTCAACAGCTTGGCTCAGGACTCGGACCACTTTTACGGCTGCAATTGGCTGCATCAACGGATTTCTAGTGGCATCCCACTATTTCTGGTTGAGAGCCTCCTACACCTATCTCTGACTCACCTGCAGCACTTGTGGAACACTGCGAAGATTGTGGAACACTGCGAAGGAACATCCGCCCAGTTTGGATGCGCTTTGCTTGCTGCTTCTCAGTAGGGGATACGGATTGCAATGAATGTGATGCCGATCTAGTCCCAATATAACATATTCCCTTATTCCCCATTTTAACCCCAATATAATATACCCTACTATACTATAGTAATTTCCCTTTTCTCCTCCATCATCCCCATATAACCCGAATATATTCCCTTATTCGCCACTGAGAAAAACACCCTGGGCCCTGGCCTACTGCGCCACCACTCAAGAAGCCGGCTCCACTTCCCAGGACGCAGCCTGCGCCACACTATTTGGGGGTTTACCAGAATTAGGGGTACCATTTTGGGGGTCCCAATAGTAAGGACTACAGTATATTGGAGTCTATAATGGGGTCCCCTTATTTTGGAAAACTACCATTTCCCCCCTCCCCCGTGCTGGGTTGCTGTTAAGGAATCCAAACTAAGTTACTATGACATGGGTATACGGTGAAGGAAAAGAATTCCCTTATTATAGTAATACAGCGACCCTTTTTTCTGTCCTGTGTCCTACCAATCTGGAGGCGCTAGCTTCAGGCCCCTAGCAAAACCCCGGAATCCCCAATCCAAGGCAGGCAAGTTTCATGCTCGCACCTGTGCAAGCTCCAAGTCCGCTGCCCAGAACAGCACCCGCGGGAATCGACAGCCCAAATGTAAAAAGCGCAGGAATGACACCTGCCGTGCAAGATGGCAGCGTCAATCTGCAAAAAGCCAAAGCTGAAATGCGCTGAAGATGCCAAGGCACCGCAGGCGGCTCCCAGCAATCCGCCGCTCACAAGACCAGTGCTGGCGCCGGCAGTCCCCAAGATCACCTCAGCTGAGTCGTGGCTTCAGCCTTGCTCAGCAAATCCTCCGCCTCCCGGGACCCCTCGAAGCTGCAGAGCAAGTTGCCGAACCACCAGCCGCTGATAAAACCACAGTTCGGGCATCGGTGCCCCCATATTGGGAAAGCTCCGCCATAGCAGCCCCTCTTGAGCTAAAACGGCTGGGTGTGATCACACTTGACATAGGGTCGCAATGTCAATTCAGAAAAAAAAGTGCGCTTCCCATGCCGGAGAGACCCAAGTCTTGTGATGTGTTGTGCACCATGCTCCGGCCTGGGGTGAGCTTGCAGGGAGGCAACGAGACACTTGTCGGCTGGTTGGCCCGCCTGTGAGGCCACGTCCCGGCCGCAGATGAGCGCATGATGTGACTCGTACCAAAATCCTACAGTACCTAACTGCCTCAATGTCTGTGCTGTGTTTGAGAGCTGACGTGCTAGTTCACCGTACCAGCTCTGGAGTCACAAGAGCCAGAAGGGCTTCCAGACTTCATCATGATTGCTGTAGCAGCAGGGCTTCACTCACGGTTTGTTCTACTCCAGCAGCGCTGGCGACAAGACTGTACATCTGTACAGCAAAGGGTAGCAGAGGCGGCAAAGCCTGGCCCACAGCAGGGGCATGTGCTCTCACAAGCTAAAGAAGCGCTTGGCGTTCTCCGTGGTGACCTTGGCAACCTCTTCGGCTGGCACCTGTCCAGCATTAAAAAGATTGACCTGAACTTGGTTGACCAAAGCTGCAGCTCGCTTCCCTGTGCCAATCAGCATGCATGGATACTTATGAAACTGCCAGGATTCTTGCTCAGGCCTCCAAACACTCCGCAACTGCTCGGCATACAGCTGGCATGAGGCATGGTTCATTGGTGCCTGGGATCTGGGAGAGACAAACAGCTTGGACTTCTCCCATTCTCTGCTAGCATCCCCAAGTTCCTCCATACAAACATTGCCCAGAGCATGCATCATGGTGGATGCTGGGAGTATCTTATTCCCCCTACTGCAGTTATGGCAATGATCACCACCACCACCACCACCACCACTTCTGCTGCCCCTCCTGCTAAATGCAGCAGCTGCTAGAAGCACCTATGGCCAATTTCGGCATATTACCGTCCCGAATATTGATACGGCTTGTTTTTACAACAAAGTTTTTGAAACCTGCAGTATGGGCACACTACTTCGCTAAAGGCATCTGAAGAACAAGTCGGGCATCTGCTTTTTGAGCTGCTGAGCATCCAAGCCCCCGCCAGAAGATTGGGAGTCTGCATTTTGAGATGTTCGGAGCCGAAACCACACGAAACGCGGATCCCCTTGCCCCTTATGGAGGGTTAGAGGATCAAAAAACAAAGTCTGGTGATCAAAAGAAACAAGAATTAAAACACAAACGGCGGCTTTCATGGCAGAACAATCAGGATTTGGGCGCCACAAAAAAAAAAAAAGTAGCAGCACGATTCGGGGGATGAAAAACATGATAAAAAAATCAAGAAAACGGTTCCAAATAGTGGAAATCTCAAAAAAAAGAAAAAAGTGATAGTTGCTGTTAAAAATGCTGAATATTGCAACAAAAATATGATAATCATGGAAAGCAATGATATTATACCAGCACAGCCCCTGAGCAGATTCAATTGACCAAGCAAAATACCAACGCTTTCAATGTCATTGCCAAATATCTGGTTGCGTTAGACAGCTTTCATATCCATCCTTCTGGTCTTAAGCTCGGCTTCGCTTGCGCTCAAGCCACTGATGCCCTCCATTCTGGCAACGATTACACGAGTTGCTATCCAGATGTTGTGCATGTGGAAAGCGGCTTCCCAGCAATATTGTTCTTTCATAGTGCAGGCGCAGGTTGTCTGTAGCTTTTTTCGGTTGATTAACATACCTTTACTTATATGACATGTGCTCTCAGCAACTATTGCAAACAAATCCAGAAAAAATCTCTCTGGTCTCTCTCTCGGTCAAGCCCTCCAAGAAATCAGGGTTGCCAACTACAAAAACTCTATGCCTCACCTTTTCACTTCTCAGGGAAACATACGGAAGCCAAGCAGTGACCGCTCCTATCTCGGCAACTCTTCGCGGATGCGACTTGACAATGCTATAACTCTCAAATCCTGGACCGCCAGAATTCCGAACCCACAAAACCTCAGCAAGCTGCGGCCGCGAACTCCCACGGCCTCCGAAAAGTACTCTTTATCCGGCATCATGAAAGGGCAATCAGTCCTTGCATGTCGCCACATACACTCAGAAATGTCTACACATGCAGCACTGCTAAGAGAGTGTCCACAATTGCTGCAATTTGCACTCCTACTCCTCTATGGCCCGGTGTTGCTCTGAGCATCCGTGGGTTGAAGGGAAGGCGAGTTAAGGCAACTGTAATTGGGACCATGTGGTGTCAAGCATAAAGTGCAAAACAAATCAATGACCAACCATGCAGAGCACTTCGATGCTGCCCAGAAGCTCAATCATGAGCTGCTTCAGCGGGAGCGCAGCAGTTCGGAGCAGTTCTCGAATGTGAGCCCCACGCTTCTTCATGCCGGCAAAGCCAGTAAGCCCAATAAAATAGCCTCAAGCGGGTATGAATTGGAAGCAGGTTTTTTTGAGCAAAAGGGTGCCTTCAGAGAGCTTCCCCGCAAGGACTTTACAGAATAGCCGTATGATACCCCGCATCTAAAATGCAACAATCCCGTTTGACTAAGGGTAGTTAAGTACAAGACTTCAGATACCTCACACTTGAGGGACCCCAACAATCCTTCGGTCGTCGCTTCTGAACCCAGGTCTGAACTTTCCAGGTGATGTCACACAATTTTGAGGAACTCAAGAATGCCCATTCATGAAATTGACTGAAATCACAGACATCAACTTGGGACAGTTCCAGCCAGGACAGCAACAACTAGCTCCCCATAAAGCTTATTGTACTGCCCCTGGTTTCAGAGATACCTGTCGTACTGCAAGCCCAGCAGCCCCTGGAAATGTACGCCTCCAATTCCTTCGCTTGCCCGGTGAAGCAATGTACACAAACCGCTTTAGGATCCACGTTGCAGTCTGCCAGGATGCCTAGGAGGTCGTTCGACGAACCCAAAGGTTTGCCCTTGCTCCCATCTCTGTCGCGCTCATGGAGGAACAAAGGCCTAGCTCATGCAGCACGTCAAGCACACTAAGCTAAGCCCTACTTGCTGATGAGAAGCAAACCCTTCGCAACTGGACAAAACAGTAAACACTTCTAATGAACCAAGGGCTCATTCGCAACTCTACTGCAAGCTCCACTTGCTTCCGACACCAAAGCAGCTGGATTTCCCGCGGCGAAAACATCCTGTCATAGTCCAGACCTCACATCACCAAAACCGATTGCACTAGGAGCCTTGGAACCTGCTTTCAGCCAAGAGCTTGGGACATAAGAAGCGCAAATAGTCTGCTAGCTGTTCATCCCAGAAGGCCACACTCACCAAGAGAAACGCAAGCACTCTGACTGGCCAACGACCGCAATGCTTCGATGGTTTTTTCGTCGCAGCGCTTTGCATCATGCGGATGGACCCCGGCGGTGAAAGAGAGGCACGGAAGCTGCATGACATCAGATTCCTGGATCCTGATTTTCTGCTGGCCATTTGAAAGTTGAGCCCCAAATGCACTCTAGTTATCTCGTTCCCATCAACAAGGACCCGAAGATTCTCGCATGCTGCAGATCCCTTCCCACAACAAAATGACCCTGCCACAAATTATCGAAGGGAAAGTCATGCAGCCCAGCATCTCCGCCTGGGCGGCTGCCCCAACGAGCTGCAAAGCTTTTGACCACCCTGATGGCCCAGCCCATTCTTGGCAGATTCGACTGGCATCCAGGGAGCCCTTGACGCTACCTCACATGCCCCATGACATCATAAGGGTGAGATTCACGTTTCCGTCCCACTGAAAAACATATCCTTCTATTGCATGGAACTCCCTTGCTAGCTCCTTTAAGCGACAGCCAGTGAGAATCACATGGCTCACGTTGGCAGCCGAAGCCCGCAAAAGCTGCGCGGCTAAGTCTTGCGGTGCGCACTTGCCCAGATTTGCCCCAATGTCAACCAAGCCCTCGTGTCCCACAGCAAACTCAGATAACGCAGAGATTTTGAGAGGGCCCAGTCCAGACTTCTGAGCTCCAGGCCGGGGGCTACCATCAACTCTTGCTTTCTTTTTGGTGTTGGCGGGAGCATCCCAATACTCTGGGCCCCTCTGGCCCTTGTTGCTGGAAATGGACTGTAGCCATTGTTGGTAGGCCAGGTCAATGCCCATGTCCTTGCAACCATCACGAATAAGTTTCAAATATCTGTCGGGCGGCGCCACATTCTGAGGCAGCTTCCACTCAGATGGGGTCACGAACGCTTGCGCTCCAATGACTCGTCCATCGTATGACTCCACATTTCTGGGCTGCTTCACAAACTCTTTCAAAAAATGCGACACCATGAGCACATCACCAGTAAAACACTGGCATTCTGTTCATCTTACTTTTTGCTGCTGGACTTGTTCAATCGCCAGCGTTCTGGCCGAAGCATCCCGATCATGAGCTCTGTTCATCTTACTAGCACAACATCCGCGGTGATTCTTCTTGGAACTGTGGCGGACGTAGTGCCAGCAGCAACACCAAGCAGCAGCAGCAGCAGCAGCAGCAGCAGCAGCAGTGATCACACGAAGACCACTGGCAGCAGTATCAATTTGCAGCAGCAGCAGCAGCAGCAGCAGCAGCAGCAGCACCGGCGGCGGCGGCACCCGGCAACGGTGGCGGCAGGCAGTGTTGTTGAACGGCCTACGTGAATTGATGCTGCAGCGGATGTCTGATTGGCACTCGTTTTTGCAGTCCATGAACACTTCCTGCTTACGTCCGCACAGACCAGGCAAAAAGCTTCAAGTCAGATGTGTTTCACCTGAAACCTAGCAGCTTTGAGACTGTGAAAAGGAAATCATCCTTTCCTGCATGTCTTGCATTTTGCTAAAACCACATGTGAGATTCTGCACATCCGCAGCTGCGGCAGCACCAGCACCGGCAAGGGCGGTAGTTGCATAGATGGTAGCGGAGTAATAGCGTCGTAGCTTGCATGGCATGTAGTGAGAGTAGCAAGGTAGAAATCAACAGATGAAGTACGCCCAAGGGTCAGTTTCAGTGTTCGGTACTCGTGCTCAATTTGGCACAGCTTCTCAAAATCCCGCTGGCTGAGCTCAAGGAGGATTCCGTGAACTGCTTCTGGTCCATCATCTGGTGGAAGGGTATCAAGAGGCTGTACGTTCCCCATGCCTCCTTTGTGGTTGAACATTAGCCGCCAGCCCGGGACTTTGCCAGGAGTCTGCGCCAACGGGACGATGCCTCGCTTGACTTGAAGCTTCCAAGGGTTGATGTTTGCCCCGAATCCAAAATACCACACGCTGGGAGCGTTGGTTGCATCTGGCCCGTGCACAGCACGCCAGCGCGACCTGCTGGGATAGGCAGTGGAAGAAGTGCTTGTTTCTTGTGAATGAGACCACCCGCTCGAACTCCAGCGCGGCATAAACCTTCGCACGTTAGCACCTGCAGAGGCAGCCAATGAACACAAACCAAATCAGAACAGAGCCATCAAAAGACGAAACTTGCCTTAACAAGATGCGCAAGTTTGCCCTGAAGGGCCTGCGTGTAGATTTGAGAGCTGCTGAAAGCAGAACAAGACAGATGCCGTTTTGGAGGCCAGAAAGACAAGTGGCAGCCGTTGCCTGAGACCCTGCATGTCTGGACTTGAGATGCAAAACATCAGGCTTCGAAACTCTCATAACATGAACATGACTGCAAATCATGCAGGTACAGAACCAGCAAACACGGCAAAAAGTCAGACACTGAACGATTTTTGTCCGACACCAGCAGATCAGCGGGTGTGTGGAGATGCTCCACCCTGCTACTATGCAAGCTAGCAACACGACATCACTCCCCGCGCGGCTCCTGCCAATCTGAATGTGGCAGCCTCTCGCGCGGAACCATCAGGACCTGGATGAGCCAAGGTGGACATGCAGGCGTGACCGCCGGATTCTTCCTGTCATCCTTCGAAAGCACAGACTGAGTCTTTGCAGTGGGTTCATGTACAAGATCGGGGAACCCTCGCCACTGCTGGTCTGCAACTCCGCACGCCGCACAACGCTGCACGTAGCGAGCTTGCTTCAGCTCATGCACGCCATTGGGATAGCTTCTAGTCTGTGTTAAAATGTCTGGGGCATCGTTTAAAGCGCCTGCAAATGCCATAGGCCACCAGCATCAGCACCATGGCTGTACCTGCGCCAAGAATGCCAAGCCACCAGGCAATACCCCCACCCTGGGTGTCCAGCCCATTGACAGTGAGCTTCACACGCGCATGTGTGAATGCATGGTCACCTCCGCGCACCCCAAAATCTGTGGTGAAGTCCAAGAAAGTCGGCATGTCGAAGCCTAGATTACCCACAGACATCGGTCTGAGAAAGCCTATGGAATCCAACCAACCAAATGCCAAGTAGACAGGTTCCCTCTTCATGTTCACATTCAAGTAAATCTGCGCATCTTCGACTTGAAGCTTCGTCTTTGGAATGTGATCCGACATCATGAAAAAAGATGGCATGCTGTTTGGGTCAAGGCTTTTGGCTGACTGGTTCTTTCTCTTCAAAGCTTGCTCGAGTTCCATAAACGTAACAGCCAGACCAGCTGGCCATTCATGGCTGGTGGTGAGTGTGCCAGATTCCCTCGCAACTTCATCAACAACCTCAGCAGACACTAGCTGGTCCCAGGGTGTGTACTTGTATGTGACCGGTGCGGGCTGGAGCTGCTGCTCCCTCCACCAATCAGTCTGTAGGAAAAAGCTGTCACAAAATTTGCGTGATGGATGGCTGACAGAAACACCACCGATGGACAAGCCGTCAAAATATTTTACATCCCACGACAACAACTCCTTTCGCCCGTAAGCTGTCACAAGCAAATGACGCAGGATGGCTTGGCTCCTGTTGGTCAAGGAGGCAACTTTCCGGGTATGGCCCCAATGACGCACGTGCGCAACATCCACATCGAACTTGGCATCAAGCTTGAGGACAAGCCTGTCATTGATGTCCCCAAGCAGTATGGCTTGGAAAAACTGCCCTTCCCGCGAAGCAGCCTGATGCTGTCGGTGAATTTCACGAAGCAGCAAGTCGATCTGCTCAGCTTTGCGGTCGTCATGGGTGTCCAAATTCACGCCAATGATCATAAGCACCGCAGGTTGGCCCCGAACATGTACTTGTACTGTTTGGAAAACTGCCATTTTATTTGGCTTACCATGAGCCCGACAACATGATGTCGGGCTGTATGCAAATGACACGCTAGGCGTCTTCGAGCAAATAAGTAGAGCATGCACTCCACTCTTCGGCCCGTTGCTGTTCAAACCGCTGTAAGGAATTGCTGGCGACTGTCCTGGCAGTGAAAACACCAGTCTGATTCCTATTATTATATTATTATGATCACAATTACTATTGCTATTATTACTGTTATTACCATGATTGCTATCCTTATTATCTTTTTTACTGTTATTACTATTATGACTATAATGAGATTACTATTATTACGATTCTTGAAGGGCCTGCCATCGCTCAACACAAATGTCTCAACCTGACCTGGGCTAATCTTGAGGCACTTACCGACATCATCTGAGCCATAGTCTAACTCCTAGTATTGCCCTGGAAAACCCCTTTAATAACCCCCTATATACTCCACTTTATATCTCTCTTGAAAGAGCTTGGAACACATCTCATCTTATCTATCCCTGCAGACACTGCAAACCCGGGCATGGTGCTGAATTGTCCTGCGTCATTGCAGAAATAGCCTCTGGCATGAAGTTTTTTCGCGATGCTGGCCCAGTTGAAGGAGCTCAATATTGTATCCATCTCATACCAAATAACCAAGTCCTCAGAATCATGCAACGAATGACTCATCGCGAACTGGTGCTAGATACTAGCTTACTGTGCCTGAACATTGCCTCAGTTTCACGGGCCGCAATTTTCAAGCTGCGCGCGGCTACCTGCAGTAATTCAATAACCAAAAAAAGTTACCTAAGTTGCATGTGGGGTAGAGTTTTGAAGTCCATCATATTTGCCTAACAAGGCCCAACAAATGTACCAGATGACTTCGCCAAGTTAAGGGTCATCTTTGTGCTTGGCAAGCGCATTCGCGATGTAAAGAGATGATTGTTTCGACTGCTTGCGTCCATTCAGCTTCCAGGACCCAGCTGCAATGGTAAATGCTGCTGCCCAGGGCATGAAGCAAGACGAAACTGCACAGTTTGTTATGTTTGCTCTTTGGAAACAGTGTCCTACCTTTGTGACAGTGGTATTGTCAATTCCACGTACGGCAGGAACTGCAACTGTCCCTTTGAATAGCTCAAAGCAGAATGAAATGTCGACGGCTGCGCAGCACAACGAAAAACCAATGCTGAACGGACCATTCAATAGTCATCACATATATCTCAAACATGAGCGGTGTTGGTATATCCATCACCCAAAACAATCTAGCATAGCATCCTCTTCCTAGAATGAATGCAAGGTGCAAAGATTAATCAAAAATCAATGATAATGAAATTCAAGATTTCTGACCGTTGCGCGGGAAATAACAGCCCATCACGGGAAATACCTGTCTTGATTCTTCAGTCAAGCACTGATGGTTGGAGATACTTCCAACATTCAGCAAACTGAACACCATGTTTTCTTCTGGGCATGAGACTTGGCCAAATTCATGTCCATCAATGTCAGGGCTGCGCAGTCTCACAACAAATAGTGAATCATGAGGCTTGTGTAACTTTGTTGGACAATGGCTTCGCCATATAATGCCATCAAAAGTTCGGGCGCGAGAAATCAACCCAAAATGCATCCCTGAAATTTGAATCCGCCCAGTCCACCAACTCCGGCCTAAGAAACCGAGTCTGACATCGTACTGCCTGACAACCACTTGCCTTGCGCACTGAAAAATCACACGCTAACTCACGCAGCTACAGTGAAAATTCAAATGACCACGCAGCAACGGATAAGGCGGATAAGGCCGCAGCCGGGCGAGACCAATAGTACCCAGAGGCACGTGCACTGAAATTGAGGGCGACGGACTGTTAAAAGGTGTCCCTATCATGGAAACAGAGCAGACCTTGATCGCAGGGACGGATGAGTATGCGCCCGTGAGCCTTGGAGACATCCAGAACCGAAACATGCAGGCGGTCGTCTTGCGCAAGGCCAGAAGGCAGGCACCGGCGAAGATGGTTCAGAGTCGGGTTGGCAGAACGATTGGGCACACCTGCTCAGTCGGTCCCTGCCACGGCGGGGCTGAGGCTAAAGTTGGGCAAGGAGTGAGAGCCAGCATAGTTTGGCAGTCAGACTAATCTGTTACGCCAGATTAGGATTAGGACACAAGGGAAAAACAGTCAGCTGCAGAAGCGGCGCTCTCTTTTTCCTAGTGTGGTTAGGTAGAGTGGCAGAAACATCAGAGACAGTGTCAGTCTCTGAACGTTCAGACCAGGCAGGTCGGACAGAAACCTGCAGCTACAGAAAGAACTACAGGCAGAAGCAGGCTGCATCAACGGCCAAAGCGCAACTCAAGCCGTGCAGTGGATCAGGGAGACGGATGCAGCCAAAACGCCACTCATGACAATGCACCGAACAGAGAGCGAGACCAGGCGGATAGGTCTGAATAGCAGGCAGAGATGCAAGGACGGACCAGGGCGGCAGGCGGACGTGCTCAGACAGAAGGACAAGATGCAAAGGGTCAGTGGCGCGACTGAGCTTGTTGGCCAGATCTTTAAGAATGCCCGGGATATGGTTAATATGGGCAGAAACCCGACAGTCCTCTTGGAAGTGCAGAAAGCAACGCAAAATATGACAAAGGCCTTTGGCAGTAGATAGGCCTTTTCAAAAGGCAGATTCGGCAACGGCGTTGTCGCGGGATAGATGCACATGCACAGGCAAATGGTTAGGCGGGAGCATGGTGTGAACCAGCCAGAGGTGGCAGAAGTGAGGAATTCAGCGGGGTGACGCCGCGGCGTTTCCAGTGGAACCGGAATCTCTTCCTGCTTCACAGCCGCCCTCGGAGGTCTCATGTCAGGACTCTGTCCCTGCACCTGTGTCTGAGTTGGATGAGGAAGCTGCACTTGTTGGGGCTGCTACCTTGATTGCCCCAGCTTCCCCGGACCCTCTTCCTGACGCACCTGTGTCCTGCCCGGCTGCTGTACGTACAACCATGGCAGCAATGTGGTTCATCTGGCGGTCTCGTGCCGCCCATCTTCGCCTCGCACTGTCCATTTCTCAATACAGGCGCCCCGCGTGTGGTGCTCAAACGGACCGACTCACGAGCACCTCGGCATGCTCGACCTTTCCGCCTGGAGGCGTTGTCCTTGCCTTCGCCGTGCCTGCTGCCCGCCTGCCTTGCACCTGCCTTGGTCTCTCAGCCCGTGGCCTAAACAGCTTTTGGAGGCCCTACCCTCATTGTACATTTCGGGG